TCAATTACTTTCTACATATCAGAGAGCTAGACAATGACTAAGGATGACAGAAGAAGAATAGATGCCTTTTAGTTTTGGTGATGGAGAAGAGTATCAACCATACCATACACTGCCAAGAGAACAAAAAGGCTTATCCTGGAGAGGGTAAAACCAGGCTGCTCCTTTAAGGCAAGGATTTTGAAGCTCTGTCTTACACACTTGGAGCACGTTGCCAGGAGGAATCAGTCCTTGGAGAAGAACATCATGCTCAGAAGGGTGGAGGGACAGCACAGGAGAGGAAGACCCTGGATGAGATTAACTGACTCAGTGACTGGGGTAATGGCAGTAGGTGTGTCAGAGATGATGAAATTGGTTCAGGATAGAGCAGGATTCAGAGCTGTTGTACATAGGTTCACAGTGAGTCGCAAAGGACTCAATGGCACATAATAACAACAAACCTAGATGAAAGAAAATAAGATTGGCTCAAGACATAAGTAAAGAGAACCGACAGCCTGGAGAAAGAAGTATCTAGCAATTACGTACCTGACAAAAGCCTGACCTCTAAAATATACAGAAAACTCCAAAACTGAGTATACTGTGGCCTGTCAGAAGAATCAAAAAAACAATCTTAGCAAATTCATCAGAATGTTCCTTACATACACAGATAGTGACTTTGCCTTGTTTACTATGACACATAATCAAGAAAGAAAAATGACTAGAAATGGATACTGTGTCTGGTAAAGTAGAAGATCAGCCAATACCAGGGAATCCCTCAATGAGATGGGTCGACATGATTGCCACAGCAGTGGACTCACCTGAAGGACTAGGCAGTATTTTAGTTCTGTTATATGTAAGGTTACTATGTCTTCACGGCACTTAGCAACAATGGCCTTGGCAGAGAGAGCTCTGATTTACGCAGTGAGTAGTCTACCTGCAAAGGTGATGTCCCGAAGGAACCTATCTGGATCCAGGGTTTCCCCAAATACAAGGTAGCTTTTTACATGGTCAAATTAGGTAGAACAAAGGAGTGTCTAGACCACACCCTGATTTTCAGGCTCCATGCTCCAGCCCTCCATGGCTTCTCATCCTCACCCCCTGCTTCAGGACCATAGTTAGGTTAAGATCTCCCACCCAGGTCTCACTCCCATCTACATACTTCAGGTGGGCTACCCAGGGCAGATGCATGGCTCCTGTGTAGAATGCTGAGCCCCACAGCCCCTTTCTCCTGCCTTAGAGGAAGATTAAACAAGTGTGTCCTACCAGGTGAACAGATAGAAATGCACGGTGAAATAGGAAAGCAAGGAAAAGTGGTTTTTTATTTTAGTTAGTGTTGTGGTGCACCATCAAGCCGAAACCCACCCATCGCCAATCCTCCAGCAGGTTTTTAGAGACAGTAAATCACAGAGAAGGAGACTGCCCACCTTTCTTCTGTGGAGTAGCTGGTGGATCCAAGCTGCATTCCTTTGGGTTGGCAGTGCAGCTTCTTACCACTAGGTCACCAGAGCTCCCTATTATTTTAACAGCATGTGTTTAAAATATTTGATCTGAAAAATAAATAAATAAAAAATATTTGATCTGACTACATTAGAAGTGAGACTGGGATAGAAAAGGCAATGTGTGTGGGAATGGCCTCTCAAATCTCCTGAGGCAGCCGTGCTGTGAAGGAGCCCAGTCCACTTGGACAGTGAATAGGTGCTGTGGGTCTATAGCCCGCTGAGCCCAGCTTCTGAGTGGTTCCATCTCGGACATGGAACTTCTTGAGGATTCCAGTGCCCAGTTGTTGAGTCACCTCCAACCTTTAAGTTTGGGCAAGTTATCAGGGAAGCCTAGCCCCTGGAGGAGGACATCATGGTGGAAACTTTTATAGTTGTCAGGTGCCATTGACCACACAGCAACCTTACAAACAACAGATTGGAACCTTCTATTCTCCTATTCTTGGAAAAGTCATCTAAAAAGAGGAAGATCCTCAACAAGATGCGTTGACACAATGACTGCGCTGATGGGCTTGCATGCGAGAGGCCGTGCGATGCTGCAAGGCTGGGCAGGATCTGAGCCTGTGTGTGCGGGATCACTATGAGTCCAGGCCGTTCAACGGCTCTTAGCGAAAAGCTGAAAATGTGGATGTGCTGGAGCAGCCACAGCTTCCTCTGTTGTTCTAACAGAGAACCCATGAGTCATAATAATCCATAGTAATAAATGCTTTCTCTTTTAGACCACGAAATTTGGGGTGGTTTGTTAAGCAGCAGTAGAACGGAAACAGCTGCTCACTTAACAAGTACAGTATTTAATAGCATCGCTAACCTTCTTTGCAGTAACTAGAAATTCCCTCTCTCCTTACCCCACTGTTTGAACATTCATGATTACTTCTGATTCCTTAAACAATCACTGCCTGTCACGGTGGCGTTGGTCTGGAGGAATTGTTACTGTGGAATAAGAACTGCACCTTTCTCCTGCAGCTCGACTGTGAGAGTGCCAGCTGATCGACCACAGACAGAGCTTCCCCTTCCAAGTCAGACAGAAGGCTTTTCTATATTTGAAAGTGAATACTCAGAAACACTAGATAGGAATGCAAAATCATATTTGTCTTCCTCACGCGTGCGGTGACACTGATGAGAGGAGATGGATCAGATATTTGTGGCCTGGAGATGCCCAGCAGAGGTGTGAAAGGGATAAGAGCAGTCAGTGTTTCTGAAGAGCAAGATGCCAGCAGGACTTTAAAATGACTCTGTAGTGGTTGTGATTTTTAAGTTATCTACAGGGTTCCTTGGGGAACAGGAGTAGCAAGGCTCGTGGGAGAAACTGAGTCTCACCCACCTCTGTGCTACCAAGGGATCTGCTGAACGGCTGTGGAGGGCCTGGCAGTCCCCTTCCATCCTCCAAGGCCACAGTGACTCTCAGAGCTCAGAGTGGCTCTTGGGCTTCCATTTTCCTAGGAGCTCACCTCTCGGTTTTCAATGCTCAAACTTTACTCCTATTTTCTAGAATAGGGTCACCCCCAAAGCAGGGTCATGTCAGGACATGGTCATCCCTTCCCCAAATCCCCACCATCAACCGTATTCTTATTCCTGTTGCTGCTGTAGACAGGTGCCTTCGAGTTGACCATGCCTCACAGTGGCTGTGAACAGCAGACCTGCCCCCTGCCTTCCCCTGGGGTGTCCTCCTCATCTCTGATGCACTCGAGCCCATAGACAGTTACTGCATCAGTGCGTCCTGAGGAGGGTCTTCCTCTCTTTTGCTGACCCCCCCCACCTTTCGAAGAACCTCTAAACTTCCTAAACCATATGTATCTGTCAGTACAAGTGGTCAAGGGACAATTGAAAGGGAAAGTGTACAGCCACACTCTCAAGTCACCACATTTCTCATAAAGCAGTGTGTGGGCTCAGGCTGTGTTCCAAATGAGAGGGAAGAGCAGCGTCAGTGCCATGTGAAGACCTTCGGAAGAACTGTGGAGTGTCCACAGATGGGACGTGGGCTGGAGTGGTTCTGCCTGACAACGCCGGGTTGGGGCTCAAACTTGCTCAAAGCTTGGTAAGCAAGGAGTGATCTTTTTGATAGTTTCTAACTGAGTAATTATCAGATGTTTTTCTGTATCTGTTTTTTAACCACTTGAGGACTGATGCTGTCATTGTTGCTAGGTACCATCGAGTCAACTCCAACTCTTAGCGACCTCTGAACAGATCTGAACCTTGTCCTATCCTGAGCCGTCCTCATGATCTCTGACATTCTTGACCCCATTGTTGCAGACACTGTATCATACGGGGTCTTCCTCTCTTAGTTACTGTATCATATGGGGGCTTCCTCTCTTGTCACAGTATCATACTGAGTCTTCTTCCTGTCTTTGTCACTGTATCATACGGGGTCTTCCTCTCTTGTCACTGTATCATATGGGGTCTTCCTGTCTTTGTCACTGTATCATATGGGGTCTTCCTCTCTTTGTTGACTCTCCACCTTTTTTCAAGCATCATGTCCCTTTCCAAGGAATAGCCTCTCCTAGCAACTGTCCAAATTATGTGAGATGAAACACTCTGGCTGATGACCGATGTACTATCATTTTTGTCACTTACCGGTCTCAAAAACAGGAATTTTATGAGCGGTTTCCCTCACAGCATTTCGTTTTCAGGACAGTGGCCAAGCCCAAGCAGTAAACACCTTCTCATCAGCCGGTTAGGGGAAATAGCACCCCCTGGTGTCCATCAGGGTCACTACAGAAATCTACAGGGCCTCCTCCTAGGGCGGCCGGGGACTAATCTTGGGTTCAGACAGAAGAATTGGTTGGGGTGGGGGTTCAGTCCGTGTTTTCGGGACTATATTGTTTTGTGTCAACCCAAGGTGAATGCTTCTCATTCACTTTTTCTGAAAACTACATTAAATCTCCTTTCTCTTGTCTGCCACCTCATGTTTTATGACATTCAAGACTTTCACCCCACCACAGCCCCTCACCTGCACCAGGTACACAATGAGTGGATGGCGGATGCGCACATGATCCACATCTGTCCAATGAGTGCCTAGCCCGCGACATTTTATTGTTGCTGTTGTTGGAGTCATTGAACCAACCAAGTCATCTTCCATCGGGTTTCAGAAGTTGTAAATCACTCGGAGGGAGACTGCCCATCTTTCTCCCTCAAACTGCTGATAGATTAAAACTGCTAGGCCTTTGGGCAAGTGGTGTAACTCCCGCAGACTAGAGCTCTCTTAGTACATATTGGGGTGGGGGGAGCATTCACTTTCCATAGAAGCTGATCCATGGAATATGAGCCTCAGGATAAACTTTTGTCTCCCTGGGGAAGCTTCCAGAAAATGAAACAGACAGAGTCAAGCAGATCTGAGACCAAATAAGGCAGTTATCCTGATGAGAAAACTATCTGAGCAGCTGGAATCATCTGTATCTGAAACCGTGTTGTCCGGGGCACATCTGATTAAGTGGACCGTGTTGGGGGACCAAGCATCTCATCTTTCCCTTCCCTCCTCCTTCCCCAAAAAGATCCTTATTGCTGCTGACATTGGGAACTCTAAAGGCAGCATTAATCAAAACCACCTTTATTATTTAAAGAGCATCTTGTAGCCAGGGGCAGCTACCCAGGGTCCCCAGATGGCTGGAAAATATTTACATGGGCGTCAGGAGGGTGAGTGGTCCCAGGGACGAGTGGGCCCGCCACTGTGGAACAAAGGGCCCTGGAGGGAGGATACTGGTGGACCTGTGGGCTGGGCCCCAGAAGAAGGGTTCCTTCCCAGGCCCAGCAGGGGCAGAGCTGGAGCCACACAGATCAACTTGAGTCCTGGAGGCGTGGGTGGTGAGAAGTCACAGGTCAGAGCTGGGTCACCATGCCACTGGCTTCAGAGTGAGTCTGGAGAGACACAACTGGGGGCTTCCATGGTCTGAGAGGCGCCTCCCACAATGCTTAACCTCCCCTTCCCCTCTGAGTCTCTTTCCTCCATCAGAATCTCAAACATCCTCACCCTCTGGCACCCCTCCAGGCATAACCTTCACCTTTATGGCATGGAAGATCCACTCTCGGAAGTCATTGACCTTCGTATAGACACCTGGCTTTTGGGCCAGGGCACAGCCGGTGCCCCAGCTCACAATGCCACACAAGCGCCACCGTGGTGTCCTAGAGATGCTGTCCTCACATACGAAGGGACCGCCACTGTCACCCTGGAGGGAGATCAGGTTGCAGCAGAAGCACCTGGTCTTCTAAGATGGTCCTGGACTGTGGTACTTATTCTCTGTAGCCTTGAGACAGAGAACCCCACTACCCACTGCCACGTGTCCACTCCTGAGGGGCAGGGTCCCAGAGCTGTCCACACAGTCTCTCACCTGGCAGGCGTCAATGCCACCCTCGGGGTAGCCAGCACAGAACATCTTGGGCTTGATCTGATTCCCATAGAAGTCAGGGCTGTTGCAGACCTCATGGCTGATTATGGGAACTCGAGCCTCCTGGAGCACCCCAGCCTGTTGGCCTAGGAGGGTGCAGGGAAGACTGTCATGCTGGAACACTCCCAGTCCCCTCCCTCCCGGTACCCACCCCAGGCCTTTCAGTGTCTCTGTGCCCCAGGATCCAGGATCAATCAGACTGTCCTTGTCCAGCCCCAGTTCTGAGTCTCCCTAATGGTGGCTTCCCAGGCAGAGAGCAGGGACTCACCATAGTACTGAGTGTTGCCCCAGCCCGTCACGGTGCACATCTTGCCATCTACCAGGGCCTGGCCAGCAGCTGGGAGGCACACAGGCTGGATGAATTCTGGGAGAGAGACCACGCTGGTCCAGCCCCTGCTGGCCTGTCCCACCAGGTGCAAACCTCCTCCCAGCTGCCTCTGCCGCCCTAAGCCACCCCTTCGTGCTGTTCTTAGTAACAATCAACAGACGCTGCAGTCTATAGTAATGGCTCTTTCCCGGGTCAGTTCCCTTGGTCCCCAATTGGCCCAGGAGACTTGTTGTTGTTATGTGCCATTGAGTCACTTGCGACTCATAGCGACCCTATGTACCACAGCCCTGAGCCCTGCTCTATCCTGAACCAACTTCATTGTCTCTGACCTATCTACTCATTATCCCAGTCCCTGAGTCAAGTCATCTCATCCAGGGTCTTCCTCTCCTGTGCTGTGTCTCCACCCTTCCAAGCATGATGTCTCTTTCCAATATGCCCAAGGTATGTCAGATGAAGCTTCAAAATCCTTGCCTCCAAGAAGCAGCCTGGTTTCACCCTCTCCAGGATGAACCTGTTTGTTCTCTTAGCAGTGTATTCAGTACCCTTCTCTGGCACCACAACTTAAAGGCATTGGTTTTTCTTCTGTCATCTTTTCTCATTATCCAGCTCTCTGATGCATAGCAAGTAATTGTGAAGACCATGGCCTAGATCAGGCATGCCTTGTTTCTAAACTGACATAGTTGCTCTTTAGTTCTCTGGAGAGGTCACTGGCAGCAGATTTTCCCAAAGATTTGTCTTTTGATTTCCTGGCTGCTGGTACCAAAAGTGTTGACTGTGGAGCCAAGCAAATGGAAACTGTTGACAATCTCAACAGCAGCTATGGACAATGACCAAGGAGGATAGAAGGAGAATTGATGCCTTTGAGCTGTGGTGCTGGAGAAGAGTATTGAGAATACCATGGACTGCTAGGAAAAGAAACAGATTCATCCTGGAAAGGGTTAAACCGGGTGGCTCCTTGGAGGCAAGGATTCTGAGGCTCCGTCTAACTTACTTTGGACATGTTGTGAGGAGAGACCGGTCCTTAGAGAGGGACATCATGCTTGGGAGGGTGGAGGGACGGCGCAGGAGAGGAAGGCCCTCTATGAGGTGGATTGATTGATTCAGTGACTGGGATAATTGGGATGGGAGTGTCAGAGACAGTGCGATTGGCACAGGACAGAGCGGAATTTAGGGCTGTTGTACATAGGGTCGCTATGAGTTGCAGGTGACTCAACGGCACATAACAACAACAACAACCCTACCCTACCTTATCCTATCCTATCCTATCCTATCCTATCCTATCCTATCCTATCCTATCCTATCCTATCCTATCCTATCCTATTATCCTATCCTATGGAAGATGCAGCTGACACACTTACTCCAAAAATCTCACAACAAATTAATGGTAGAGCCAGAATTAGAACATAGAGTTTGAACACAATTCCCAAGCCTGTGCTTTTAACTTTAGCCTAGGGAGTTGATGCCCCCAGCCCAGAGCAGGTCCTTTTGAAAAGTATAAAATGCCAAAAGACCTCTGCATTGGGTAAGTCTGCCGTCAAGGACCTCTTTAAAGTGCTAAAGAGCAAGGATGTAATTTAAAGACTAAGGTGCAATTTAAAGACCTGACCTAAGCCATCATGTTTCCAGTTGTTTCTTATGTCTGTGACAGTTGGACAGTGAATAAGGATGACCACAGAATCGATGCCTATGAGTGGCACTGGTGAGGAGCACTACACATGCCACAGACTAACAAAAGAACACGCAAATCTATCTTGGAGGAAGTGCAGCCTGGTGTTCCTCAGGGTGAGACAGTGAAGCTTCATCTCGCATACTTTGGGCATGGGACCAGGGGTCCATTCTTTGGAAAAGGGCATCGTGCTGGGAAAGACAGATGCATGAAAGAAAGCCCTTTAGCAAGGTGGACTGGCGTAGGGAGTTGAGCATGCCGGAAATTGTGAGGATGGGGCAAAGTTTTGACCAATTGTTCACAGGGTTGCTGTGAGTTGGAGTTGCCTCTACAGCTCCTAACGTGGTGACACGTGACTTCCACTAGTGAGGAAATCCTAACCATCACCCATAGGGAGCCTGGCACCTGGAGCTGGAGCTGACTTCTGTGGTGCACGGCACACACAGGTGATCTCGGCAGCCCTGGCTACTACTGCCTGCGCCCTGGTGCTCTCATCTGTAACATGGAAATAATAATCATTTCCCCCGAGGTCACAGTGAGGGATTGGGGGAGTGTGGAGCCGCACGCCTGGCAAGGAGGAGACACTTTATATAGTAGTAATCAACAACAACCCCAGCAGTATTGGCATAACATGGGCTCTCATTGTTGTTTTACTTGCATTAAAGTCTTTCAGTCATCTTATGCATCAGAAAGCTGGACAATGACTAGGGATTATAGAAAAGTAATAGTTGCCTTTGAGCTGTGTTGCTGGAGAAGAGTATTGAATATACTGTGGACTTCCAGAAAAACAAACAGATTCAACTTAGAGATGGTGAAACCAGGCTGCTCCTTGGAGGCAAGGATTCTGAGGCTTCATCTGACATACTTAGTACATGTTACAAGGGGGAACCAGTCCTTGGAGAGGGACATCATGCTTGGAAGAGTAGAGGGACAGCACAAGAAAGGAAGACCTTTGATGAGGTGGATTGATTAGTGACTGGGGTAATGGGGGCAGGTGTGTCAGAGACAATAAGGTAGAGCAGGGTTCAGGGCAGCTGCACAAAGGGTCGCTATGAGTCTCAAGCAACTTGACGACACATAACAACAACAACAATAATCTCAATCCTAAGAAGTCATTTTATAGATGGAAGAAAGTGAGGTGCAGGGAGGTGAAGGCATGTCACAGCTGGAGACACACAAGCCTAACTCCGAAGCCCACACTGCCACCTCCAGTCCTCTGTCTCAACTCACGTCATTCCTACCTCTCCACCTGTGTTCTCACAGACACCTCCGAAGATCAGTATTTTTAACCCCTTCCCCCTTTTCAAGGAGCCCTGGTGGCATAATGCATAACATGCCAGGCTGCAAACCAAAAGGTCAGTGGTTCGAATCCAGCAGCTGCTCTGCAAGAGAACAAGGCAGTCTCTTCCCATGAAGACTGTTGTGTGTGGTGGAGGCAGAGCTGACTCGCAGCTGAGCCCCCAGAAGGTTTTCAGAGGCTGTAAATCGCACGGGAGGAGACTGGTGATTATCTTTCTCACACGGAGCAGCTGGTGGATTCAAACCGTGCACTCTGGCAGTACAACCTCTTGCCACTAGACCAGACTAAGCCTGTACAACTGAGGGAGGGTCCAGATGGCAATGCGTTTGGGTTTTCATTCTTTACGAAGGGAAAGAGTTTGCTTTGTTCCAGCTTAAAGGAGAATTGTCTATCACTCCCAAAAGTGGAGAAGCAGTATGAAGGATCATTAAAAAGAAATGTACAGCGAACCACACAACGGTACCCAAATCCCTGGTGGCAGGGACTGGGGTTCACAGTGCAGAACCCAGTGCTAGCCAGCCCAGGTCCACACCTTTGCCCTGTCTCACTGTGGGAAGTGGGTGAGGCAGTTAACTTCTCTGTGGGAATCCCTTCCCATGCGAGAATCTACGCTCTCCAAGATTCTGAAAGGACTGCCACACAGGCAGCCAGGGCGGTACATTCCCAGTTAGTACACTGTGGTTGTTACCAGGTGCAGGTGAGTCAGCCTGCCTCACAGTGAGCCCGTGTGCAACAGGCCCTGCAGTGGCTCTACTCTCTGCTGGGTGAACGCTCGTGCTCACTGTGTCAGGCCATCTCCTGGAGCGTCTTACTCTGCTGACCTTTGCTTTAGTAAGAGTGAAGTCTTTCTTCAGGACCGGCCCCTCCTGACATTGTGCCCAACGTACGTGAGACCAAGTCTTGCCATCCTCTCTGCTAAGGAGCATTCTGGCTGCATTTCTCTATTATATGACCTCACTGTTAATTCATTCAAATACTTTACTTACTAAAGGCTAGTCATCATTATCACTGTTGTAATAATTATCTCTAACTCTCCAATTAATTCTTCGTTTTCAATTTTTTATTTAATATTTTTGGTAATAGCTTTATACAGTAAAACTAGGACAATGGGGCAATCAGTGAGACTGGCTCAAGACAGGGGAGGGTCATATGGTCACAGGCGACTCAATGGCACATGACAACACAACAACAGTAGCTTTACTGAAGTAGAATTCACCCGTTTAAGGTGCACAGGTCAGTGTTTTTCTGCGAGCTCAGCGATCACTGTATGTCGCTGAGTTGGAACCATCTCAAAGCTTAATCTCCAGCTGGTTTCCAGAGGCTGCAAACTGCACGGACAGAGATTGCCTATCATGCTCTCAAGGAGCTCTGTGGATTTGAACGTCCTACCTTTGAGATGATAGCGCAGCTCCTTACCACTAATCCACCCGCGGTCCCTACCGCAACGTGTATAATGACAGCACTCTAGAGAGCAGTGCGCTGTGGAGTTATGTGCTACACAGCTAACTGAAAGGTCTGCAGTTCGAATTCAGGGGCTCCACTGGAGAAGGATGAGGCAATCTGCACGGATTTACAACCTTGCAAACTATTAGCCAGGATAAACCCAACAGGTTTTATATGTGTCACAACATGTATGCATATTATAATATATTTATGTTGTGTGTGTTGTGTGCTGGTGAGCTGGAACAGGCCCACAGCTGACCATCCAGCAGGGTTTCAGAGGCTGTAAATCACACAGGACGCAACTGTCCATCCTTATCCTGTGGAGCAGCAGGTGGACTCAAACCACGTACCTTTGAGACTGCAGTGTAGCTTTTCACCACCACTGAGTTGGAATCCATTTCCACTGAATTCCACTGAATTTCTGAGACTAAAAATTGTTCTAGAGGAGACTGCTCTTTCTCCTGAGAAGCTGTTGGTAAATTCAAACCTCCACAGAAGCATGGCAGCTTAACTCCCTGTAGAGCATGCCACCGTGTGTGTGTGTGTGTGTGTGTGTGTGACTGTTGTTTATCCTTGAGTCAGAACTGACCCATAGCAGAGCCTCTAGTGGTTTTTCAGAGGCTATAACAACACACAGGAGGACACTGTCCTGTTTTTCTCCCAAAGAGCAGCTGGAGACTTGAACTGCCTGCCCTCAGGTTGGCGGTGCAATGCCTTACCTCTAGGTCACCTGAGCTATCTAATTTTTATCTGTTAGATCTACCACATTTTGCCTTTTTGCTCGTCTGTTCGTTTGGATGCTTCCCATCTTCCAGTTACTCTGCATAAAGGCTCCAGAACACTTAAGGATCTGCTTTGTTGTGTACACAAGTGTACCTGCCCTTGTTTGCCCTGGGCATGGGCCTGGAGTGAAATGCTGAGTCCGATTTTAACTCTGTGCTGGCATTTTTCAGTAGCTGCTAGACTGTTTTCCAAAACTCTACTCCAGTCAGTCAGAGCTGAGGGCCACTTTGCGTCCAGTTAGATTGCACAGACACTCGCATCCTAAGTTTGTCCTCCTGCAACCTGACACCCTTTTCTGTACCCCTGGCCCACAGACTTACCTGTGAGGGGCAGCGGGCTGGAAAGGTGGACGAGAGCAATGTCGTTGCTGTTCTCCTCGCTGTTGGAGTCAAGGAAGGGGAGGTAGCCCCCATGGTAGATGACCGCCTGGACCCCCTGCTGCAGCCCGTGGGGCGAGGTCTGGGCCACGGCACCGGCAAACACCCTCCATCTGGACAGAATCCGGTTCCGTCTACCAGGAGACAGGCAGGAAGGTGGTAGCCTGCCTGGAAGCAGCATCACCCACCTCACTGTGCCCCCACCCCCAGCCTCATCGCTGTGGGCGACACTCACTCCGGGAAGCAGTGGGCAGCCGTCAGCACCCAGTCTCTGGACAGTAGGGACCCCCCACAGAGGTGTGCCCCATCATAGCGCAGACTGACTTGCCACGGCCACCTCCCCAGGCTGGTGTCCTGGCCTCCAACAATGCGGTCAACAGGCAGCTTCCTGCGGCCACAGTCTGTGGGAGGCGGGACAGCAGGGGCAGGGACCTAGAACCCATGGCCCAGGTTCTGTACACCCCAAGGGACCTCTGAGGGCACAGCCCTGCCTGGAAGGTTGATAGGATATGGTCCCACCTTTGGATAGAGTTCCAGGGCCTGAGAGAATAAAGGTCCTCCCATTGGGGATCGGGGAGGGGGTGCTAGGCCCACCCTGGGTGCCTGAGGGGATCCATCCCTGCCCTGAGATCAGAAGATGCAGTCCCACCATAGGCCCCAAGGAGACAGAGACCCTCCCTGGGGGATCTGAGGGGGTATAGGCCTGCCCCAAGTGTCAGAGAGGATGCAGTCCACATCAACAGTGGGAGCATACAGCGCCATGCTAGGGCCTGAAGGAACAAGCCCTGTCCTGTGTCATCTGAGAACACAAATCTACCCTGAAGGGCTGAGGGGACAAGGTCTCACACTAGGGTATGAGGGCAGAGACTGTGACCTGAGGAATCTGAGGGCAAGAGCCCCACCTGGTTATCTGAGGGGATGACCCTGGGTATCTGAGGGGATGACCCTGGGTATCTGAGGGGATGACCCTGGGTATCTGAGGGGATGAC